CCCCAAAACCCCAAAACCCCAAAACCCCAAAACCCCAAAACCCCGAGACTGTTATATAATATTGGGTAGAAGAGAATATGAAGGGAATGTAAGGAGAGAGGGGTGGGATAGGGGGAGAAAAGGGGATTTTGAGGGTTTTTGGGGATTTTGGGGTGGGAAGTGGGGAGGTTTGATGGAGGTGGGGTGGCTTGTGGGGAGGGGTTTTAGTGGAGGTGGTAGAGAGGGGTAGAAATTTGTGATTTGGATGATTTTTGAGGGGATTTGTGAGTTGGGGCTCTGGTTTTATCTAGGAGTGAAGGGTGAATGGGGAAAGAGAGGAAGTGGATTTATATGTTGATTGGAAACTTAGACCATGGGTTTAAAGATTTTAATGAGGATTGATGCATTAGCAACCAAACTGGTGAGAGTAAATAAGGAACGAGGTCTATAACTCTTTGCCATAGGCTAGGTCATTAGAATTATGGTTTCTCTGGAATTTTGTACCTTCAAAATTATTCCACTCCATAGTCTTGGTTATCACCCCCTAACCTTACTTTGAGGGATTATTTAGGATAATAGTGGATATCATTTTAGCGGTATTATAAATCATACATGCAAATAGTTATACGATAAGTAAAATTGGTTAATCAAAGAGAAATCCTCGTTGCATGGGACTCCTGTCTGAATGAAAATATGATTAATTACCTCTTGTGCATCCAAAACTTCTTATATAAATCACTGATTAATAAAATTAAAAATCTACTAAAACCTCTTATTATAAGAGGAAATATATGGTCCTAAATTCTGGAGAGTTTGAGAGTAGTTTCTACTTGACTAAATCAGCAAATGTTAGAGTCATAATAATTTTCAGATAATTTTTCAAACCTTCATATTTTTAGAGTTCTCATGAAAATTAATAATTTTCACAGTTTGAAAAGTCCTAGGGTTAGCAATATTAGTAAATATCTTCCCGTAATTACTTTGAGGGTTCTAGTCATGATATTTAGTCATCTTTAAGACTCTAGATTACGACTTGATAGTCCTGCTTCTTGCTTGGGTCTTCTATAGTTAATGGAGTCTCAAAATCCCATAATTTTAATGATAATTCAAATGTAGAATGGAAAATTGTGAAGAAATTAAGACTAAGAAGTATGAAATTGGAAGAGAAGCTCAGCTCCAACAAAATGTAACTCTTTTTTAGATTCTTTTGGAATCTTTTGATTCTGGTGTTTACTAGATACTCTGAATTATATAGGTACCTTCATATTTCCCTAAGAGAATAAAGAAATAAAGGAAGATGGACCAATGAAGAGCACTCTCAGTTTATTGACTGTATATATAATCTAAACTTTAGGCTTGAAGAGGTATGGTAAAGATTGGGACAAACTCGACGAAATGGTAGGGCTTCTTGCTAATTTTGAAGATACCCACTAGAGATAGCCTGCAGATTAGGTCACACAGTCAAAAATACTTCAATAGAATTAAGCAAGACTTCAATACAGATGACCCAATAGAGTATATTCGGAAAGGAATGTGAGATGAATCCCCATTCTACAAGTTTGACAAGTCTAAGTTCAATAAAGCTCCTTCACACCCTGAAGTTGCCGAGAAAAAACTCTCAGAGATCCTGGAAGAATCTGTGTGCAGAAAGCTGGCCAGTAGTCATGAAGATGAAGCATTAATTCAAGTATCTCAAAATGAAGAGGTCCACCAAGAATTCAGAAATATCAAATAAAAAGAGACACCTGAAACACCAGAGAAAATACTTTGAGGACTCAAGTTCTTCAGAATTCTTCAAGGATAAAGGTAGGAACAGCTATGAGAAGTCTGAATATCGCCAAGTGAGTACGTTAAAATTAATGAAGCATGCCCAGAGAGTTCACAGGAAACTCAGAAAGACTCGGAGTCATTTCAATTATTCAATTCCAGATCCTGACAAAGTCTACCTTATCAAGAAAGCTTTTGAGTTGAGTAACTGTGAATCTAAGCCTTATACTTCAAAAGAGCTGTCTCAGTGCACAACGAAAGCACAGAAGGTAAAAAGAAGAAAAGGTATTCATGAGAGCGAACCCGGAATTGATGCTGAATACAGAATAAATACTGAGAGAATCAACATTCTTCCTAAAATTCCTAGACATACTGTCAGGATGGCTGCAGATTCTATGAATCAAGCAAGTTCAAACACTCATGTTAAGGGAGCAGATCTAAGAGATACCAGAAGCTTAATTTTTTCGCATTTTCAGCCTTTGCCTGCTGCCCAAACTTATTGCTATGATCAGGAGAGATTTATGTCAGGGGATTTTCAGACTCTGGGCCAAACAAAGTACCATAATGAAATGAGGCCAGTAATCAACCCCAAACATTCTTGGTCAAGTACACACTCTGAACAGCAAAGTATACAATCAATAGATACTTCCCTATCCCAGCTCTTGGTGAAAAGCTTTATCGAAAATTACTGTATCTGCCAGAGATAGAGCACAAGAAGCTCTCTTTGAATGGATGGCAATCGCGACAATAAAGTGTAAAAATGAGAAATGTATTGAGAGGATAATAAAATTATTTCACCTCAACTTGCTGAAGGCATCTCGGGGTTTTGGGGTTTTGGGGTTTTGGGGG